GAGTTACAAAAACAGTCGGTTATGTCTGTGAAGGTAAACAGCTGGGAAATAAATCGCTTGTTTATTTTTATCTGTGTGGCAGCAGCAATATACAGTAAATAAATCAATAAATCCACTGCTCTCTTGTCTCCTCTGAGGCTGGGACTCTAAACAGTGTTCTGCGCAGCCAATGACAGAACAGTTAGCATGCTTTGCTCAAACTTTCGTTGTGGCATTCGAGCTGGTACACCGTTGTCGCTTGCAAAATCAAAATGACGGCACCGTTGGTGTAAACTTAAAGATTAAGGGACGGTAATATTATAATGAGATCCCTTTGCCACGTCACCATGGGAGCTAAATCTGACCAGAAAAAGGCTTACCAAAACAAAGTTACTAGGTTAATCTTTTTCACGTTTCCTTGGTTGGTAGATGGACCGGGGACCTGATTATAGCACTTAAAACCTGGAAAAGTCAGATTTTCATGATATGTCACCTTTAAATCTGAAGTGCCTGCTATTACTGAAATATGGGAACTTTTGACTTTAGCCAGTAAGCAATCACATAGCAATGCCTTGAACCGACCATAACACTCTAGTATTGTGAGTGCCAACTTTTGCATGAGCAAACAGGATTTATATTTTCTTCAGAACTCACTCTGTATGTTTTTCAGTGTGTTTGTTTGCAATGATGTGAAACACTTGACCTGTATTCATCACATGACTCACAGTGAGTACAAATAAAGCCTTCAAAATACAGCAGCTGATGTGAGACTGCCCTTGAATTGTTATCAACCATCTCTTTGTAATAAAAAAGACTTATGTAATGAAGTTTTGTATTTTTTGCATAAGCCTATTTCGACCTATTTATGCCCAAGACAATAAACTATGAAGTTAATTCAAGATCTATTCCCCAAAAATACATATCTTTCACAATTTTGCTTCTTATGTAAATGGATCTTATTTTAACAATGTTTAGACATTTTGTACTGGGAAAAAAATACAAAAAAATAAAGAATAAAATACATATGTGATGTTGGATGGTTTTTGGGTGGATGTTGGAGGATCATCTCACACTCTTAAATAAGCACACACACACACACACACACACACACACACACACACACACACACACACACACAAAAACAACTC